TACTATTATTAAATTTGGTCCCAACTCCTAAGGGCGTGATTGTATATCATTTGTACAGTAAATATCTCACTCAAAACTCAAATTTAACTCAACTTTACTATCTCCAATATTATCAATATAATTAAATAATATCAATCAATCATTATTACACATCACATCAACTTTAATTCACTATTCATCCACTCACATAATTTTAACTAATCATCATTTCCAACCATTTTCTCCTACTTTTACATCAAATCTACTTTAATTATTTTAATTTTAATATATTCAGTAACAACTAACTATACTACCTTTTTTCAAACTTAACTATAGTTAAAAAAAAAAAACTAATTTTTCATAGCACACGCCGGGTTTAGTTCATTTGATTTCAGATATGCATTAAATTCTCTCTCACACAAAATAAAAAATGAAACCAACATGAAAATTAAAAATTCACTTGTATATTGCGGATTAGATTAGCCCGACTAGTCCAGGAGCGCATTAAAAATTTGGGCCGGACCTAATTGTACAGGTACAGCCCATTTCTGTTGTGCGACAAATATTGGGCTAGTCTAGATCGATTTTGGAAAAATTAGGATACCTGATTTGGGGCCCTATCATTGAATAACATAATAAATAATCAATAATCATGTGGACCAATTTGTCAGCTCGTGATTCGGAGTGCCCACTCGAATCTGAGCTTATCCACATGTTTTTATATTCAATCTTTCATATTTTATTTTTCTATAAAAGTGAAATAAATTTCCATAATAGGATATTTCTTGTACCTATTTAATAATTTAAAAGGGACGAAATTATTTCATTAATATTGCAAAAGCCTAGGTCGGTCACACAATCACACTGGTCCTAATTTCAATGTGGTAAACAATTGGTACATTAAATAGTATCAAGTTTGTTTGGTTCAATTCATTTGTTGTTAAAGTTTGCAACATGTAATGTGTTGTTAAAAACAATTGAGTTTGTATGAAATGTAAAACCATATTTTTTGCAAATTGATTCAACTTTTTATGTGATAACTTCTATTTTATAAGTATTTTAAAATTAATTTAACATAATAAAATGTGTATTATCTGCCAAGCGTCAATTCAAGCCAGCCGAGTATTTTGTGTTGGAGCGCGTGGTCGTTTAATAAACGAGTCAAAACCTCTTCGCGAACTGGAACCACCTGGGAAGCTCCTTGCACTTAACAACTCATAAAATCGTAAACGAGCTTTTCGTAAATACAATATTGCATTCAGCCAACATGTTCGGCTCTTTTGTTCGTTCCAAACATAAAAAAAAAATGAGCAGTTTGTGAACGAGCTCCACTCGGCTTGTTTGACCGACTCCTTACGTTGTTCGAGCTTTCATGATCATAATTGAGATGTTCGTAAACAACTCGATACAAATAACAAGTGTACTTAGAGAATCTCCAATGCTCAAATATTGTTATGGTAAATACAGTTCACATCAACATATTTGCTAAAGTCACAAATTTTCTTGTACCAAAAAAAAAAAGTCACAAATTTTCATTCTCCAATATAAAATGTGATCACAGATGTTGTGATAATGTGGACAAATTTTTTGTCTACAATGTAGAAAATAATGTGGTTCATCCACTTTCTCTTCTACACTCTAGCAAATACTGAATAGAAGAGAGCGAATTTATTCTTACCTATTTCAAACTATATATTTATATAATTAATTTTATTTATTTTTTGATAAGTATATAATATTATAATTAGACTACATTATGCATTGAAGAGAATATTTTAATTTCATAGTTGTAAACGTAACATTTTCTTACCTAGTTCATAATTCATTTAATTTATTGATATTTTTTATAATTTATTTTTATAATAATATTAGAACATTGGAAATGATCAAAATAAAATCCCAAATTAAAAAAAAAAAATGTAAAGTAATGTATTTTAGTATTTAACTTTTTTTTATTTGTTTTATATTTTAGTATTTAACTTCACCAGCTACATCTTCCTTATAGGTACACACAGTCGCACACCAGACCACACACTTGTTTTAGCTGCCCACCGTTCACCACCTCGTCTCCGCTAATCTCCGCCCTACACAGCGGCCGATTTTTCCTCATTTTCAGTCAGTCATCTCCATATTTGTCTACAGGTAATTCCATTTTTTCAGCATTTTCTCCCTTTTCCGTTATTCCCTTTTTTCCGTTTTATTTTTTTCAGTACAACTGTACAATGGTGTTTATATTTGCTTTCATACGTTCTGATTCGAACTAAAGTAGCCAGAGAGCGATGGTTGGAAGCGCAACGATGTCGTTTGAGGGATCTGTGCTTTACGGAAAATCGACGGAGCATCTGACCACAGCGGATGGGGAATCATTTGATCCGGCGGCGGTGGTGGCGGAGCCGGTGCCGCAGGTTGTCCAATCGAACGGTGAGGTTGGGGAGAAGGTGCGGCAGATAGTTCTGGGGAGGAATGTGCACACCATGTCCCTGGAGGTGACAGAGCCGGAAGCAGACGACGACTCCACCGGCGATAAGGACGCGTACATGGCCAGTGTGCTGGCGAGGTACCGCAAGACGCTCATGGAACGTACCAAGAACCATTTAGGTACGATGTGTGTGTTGGTTGTGTTCTGATCTGTTTTTTGGTGTTGACGGGTTTGAGGATTCGTGGGCTGTTCTAATCGATTTTAGGGTTTATTTGGGTAATGGAATGTGTGGTGATGTGATTCGAGGTACATGAAAGTTAAGCGTTTGATGGTGAAAGGCCTGGCCTTTTTCCGGTGTTCATTTGCATCTTTCTTGATTTTTGAAAATTAATAGTGTGTAATGGATGGTTTTGTTAAATAGGTAGCAAGGCATGGAAAAAATCCACTCTCTTTGTGTGTGTGTGTGTGTGTGTGATATTGATGTGGAAGATGAATACAGAACGATTTATGAGTGTCTTGTCTGCATTACTGACCTAAAAAAATTTTGTGTGCAATGTTGGTACTAAATCTAGTGTGAACGTTTCACGCCATCTGGTGTGGTGAAGGATTTTCATTTTATTAGTGGCAATGAGCAATGTCAAAGTTAAAGTACTGTGGTGATGGATAGCGTATGTGGAAAAATGCGTACAAAATGATCTAGGATGGTGTTGTGTATTATTTACCTCTAAGAATGTTTATTTTCCAACACTTCATTCAAAAGTTAATGTTAGATGCTTTACGATATTATATGGCGCATGATTTTTCTTTTTTCTAGCAACAACGAGCCGTGTGCAAGTTAAGAGATATCATTATGTATCAACTTATTGGTATACGTTTATGCCCTGACCAATAACCTCTGTTTTCGTAGCTTAGTTGTTCTCGCTTTTGTGAAATGAAAATTTATGGTCAGTCCTTAAAAGGTTGGGTTGCTGCTAGAAGTTTAATTAATCCCTCTCTTGATAGGTGATTCCCCTATTTCCAGATAAATTGGTGCTGATGTCCATTGTTTTCAAGTTTTCATTGCATTTTGTACAAGACATGATTTAAGCTGTTTCTTTCTGATTCTGTATGAAGTAGGTGGTGCTTCAAAGTTAGAAAGAGATGTTTTTTTTCTTTAATTTTTGCAGCACTTCCAGGAAAAGAACTTTTATAAGGTTGGATGTGGGCTGGCATTGATAATTAATGCTTTTTTTAGTTTGAATCCAATGGCACTGGCTGTTTTGTAACTTTTGCTGGCATCTCTTTGTCTCCGGTGTTATTAATTTCTAGGTGGTTACTCTCATACCTTAATTGTTTTACACGGTTAACTTACTCTCATACCTTAATTGTTTTACACGGTTAACTTATGAATTATGAATTTGCCACAGCTGATTAGCTTCTGAAATGTTTTTGAACTTTTGCACAAGTATCTGGATGAACTTGTTTTCACGGAACTTGGAGCTTGTTATCAGAATTTAATTGTGTTTGACAATTACCTTTTTTTTTTGAAACAGGATATCCGTACAATTTGGATTTTGATTATGGTGCACTTGCCCAATTGCAGCATTTCTCAATTAACAACCTTGGAGATCCTTTCATTGAAAGCAATTATGGTGTGCACTCGAGACAATTTGAAGTGGGTGTACTGGATTGGTTTGCCCGCCTATGGGAAATTGAAAAGAATGATTACTGGGGATACATAACAAACTGTGGAACTGAGGGAAACCTTCATGGCATTCTTGTTGGGTAGTAGCAGTATTATTTGCTTTGTCATCTAGCGGTCCATAACTTTATTGACTTAATTCATTTTTGTTTGTTCTAATTAAATTTAATGTTAATTTTGTTAATGGAACAGGAGAGAGGTGTTTCCCGATGGTATTTTATATGCTTCAAAGGAGTCCCATTACTCTGTATTCAAAGCTGCAAGAATGTACAGAATGGACTGTGTAAAAGTTGCAACTTTGATCACTGGAGAGATTGACTGCACGGATTTTAAAAACGCGCTTCTTTCTAATAAGGATAAACCAGCTATCATCAATGTCAACATCGGTAATTCTTTCTTATGTACCTGTTTAATTTGAATTGTAGTTATTATGCTAGCTTGACCTTTAAGTATTGCCCACACGACTCAAGTGTCCATGAGCATTGTCAGACCCGCAAATAATGCTTCTAATTCATTTGGGAGGCATTTCTTAAGTTTTTTAATTTATATCACCCAAATTGCAGGAACTACTGTGAAAGGGGCGGTTGATGATCTCGATCTTGTTATTCAGACACTAGAGGAATGTGGATTTTCCCACGATAGGTTCTACATCCATTGTGATGGTGCCCTTTTTGGGCTCATGATGCCTTTTGTAAAAAAGGTATTATACCCTGCCCTCTTTCGAATTCTGAATATTCATCGAATGTATTATCCTCGAGCAGTTAAATTTGTGACTTTTACAATTGCTTTGTACCTAACATACAATAAGTTTGATGACTTCTTGCATAAATTCATGTGGCAATCGAAGTATATAACCGAAAAAGAAGCCGTTGATGGAAAATAGACATCACTGAACAATATTTCTACATACGTCAGGCTAATCGGGAAACATGAAGCCTCTAGGTTTTAGTCTAATACCTCCCTCCCCCTGTTATCTATGTTTATCCAAGAAATCATACCCTAAAGTAACATATTTGTTAAAACAAAATTTGAATTTCAAGCGACCGTTCGTAACATCTGAAGTCGAATTTCAATTGTGGTAGATAACTCGTCCTTGTTAAAAATTCGAAGTCGAAAAGAGTCGAGCCATGAATTACAGCCCCTGAATCCTGTTTGCTAGTACAGCAATTTACGATGCAAATCTTTGCTAAAACGCTAAACCCATTCCAGGCCCCGAAAGTCACGTTCAGGAAACCCATCGGCAGCGTCAGCGTGTCGGGCCACAAGTTTGTAGGCTGCCCCATGCCTTGTGGGGTCCAGCTCACCCGGCTCAAACACATCAACTCCCTCTCGAGCAACGTAGAATACCTCGCCTCCCGGGACGCCACAATCATGGGCAGCCGAAACGGGCACGCCCCAATCTTCCTCTGGTACACCCTCAACCGCAAGGGCTACAAAGGCTTTCAGAAGGAAGTCCAGAAATGCCTTCGAAACGCACATTATCTCAAAGACCATCTCATTCAGGCAGGCATTAGTGCCATGCTCAACGAGCTCAGCAGCACAGTCGTTTTCGAGAGGCCTTGTGATGAGGAGTTTGTGCGGCGTTGGCAGCTGGCGTGCGAGGGGAACATGGCCCACGTGGTTGTGATGCCGAGCGTGACAGTCGAGAAATTGGATCGTTTTCTGAGTGAGTTGATCGAGGGGAGATTGGCTTGGTATAGTGATGGGAGTGCTCGGCCGCCTTGCCTGGCGGTTGATATTGGGAGTGAGAACTGTTGTTGTGATGCTCACAAGTGAAGTGATGTGTGTTGTTTTTTGTGTGGTGATTTGTTGTTTGCCTCTGCAAGGCCTGTGTGAGGAGAGATATAAGTAGCAGTAGTATTGGGTAGGGATATTATTTAAGTGGATGAGTGTAGGTTATCAGACTTTTGCTATTCTTTGTGTGGTGTTTGATTGTTCACCTGATGAATTTGATATGCATCAACTTTATTCTTGGTTTGCTGGCTGCTGAGGACTTTATTCATGTGCACGCACATCTATTTGTGTATCATAAATTAAGTGCACGCACATCTATTTGTGTACTCTTCAAAACACACACACACACACACACACAGAGTTACACACATATCACATACCCAAAGAAATTAATAAAATATATATAGACCACATATCTCATACTCTTTACAAACTATGTAGAAAAACATATATATGGAGTCATCATAACTTCATACTGCAGAATGTGTGTAAATTCCTTTTCACCTATACATGCAATCAGTCTACTGGGGTAAACCTTATTGTTGCTACAAATACAGTGACTTCAATAAATAATTAAGCCTTCCGATTAAAATCCTGTGAACTAAGTCGGGCCTGCCTGCCGGGACTAGGGTTGTTAAGGGTGGAATTGGGTATTTGAAACTGCTGCCGCTGATGTTGGTTTGCAAGGAAATGAGCCGAAGGAGGAAACTGGGAAATCGGGCCCGTGTGTCCATTGGGACCGCCTAGACGAGCAGGGCCAGCAGGGCCCATATTTCCATTCGGACCGCCTGGAGCTTGGCCAGCCGCAACCTTAAGCCACTGAAGTTCGTTCTTCAATGCCTCATTTAAAGCTAGAAAAAGCAATCATGTGGATTATTATGGCATGATTCGTATTAAGATTATTTATTGACACAAACATGAAACAAATGCTGTGCAGAAAATTGTAACAAAGAGCATGACTTACCTGGGAGAACTACCAAAAATTTACCTTAGAGGTTTACAGATATATTTTAAAAATTACAAATACCTTTGAGGTTTTTATTTCGACTGGGTATTTTGTAATATCATCACTAGAAAGAATAGAAGAATCACGTACCCTCTCTAAGGTGTGCTTGCTGCTCCATGGCCTGTAACTTGAGCTTCAGTTCCTTGTTCTCGGAAGTCAAGCCATTAGTATCTCTCTGCAAATACACAAAACGGTACAACATAATTTCATTAATTTAATAGCAGAATTCTCCTTTTTCGCTCTTGGTTTTTTTGTCCTTCACAATGAAGGTAGCAACAAAGCACACAGAAAAATATGAATGTGGACATATTTTACAAAGTTTGTGTAAAAGACAATGTGCATAGGTACATTTGTCGGGTAATCCTTAATTTCAGGTAAGGGGGCTAATTAAACATTAGAATTACATCCCTATTCGATCATATGCTACATGTTTTTGGCACTCAACTCCCACGGTAATAAGTTCAGTGCACGTATATCATATAGGTCCGAAGACTCCACATCACAAATGATCAATATCAACTACAGTGCACCCCCAATTGAGAAATTTAAGTGAAATTGTCTAAACCGTCGAACTACATTCTAGCACAACAATCATTACAAGCATTAAAAAATCGAGCGATGTGTGTACCTGCAACACTGTAATTTGAGCCGATAGCGTGGTTGCTTCATTCTGCAAAGTCTGCACTTTCCTCTCGAGCTCGCCCGCGTAGCGTGTTTTTCTCTCTTTGGAACGTGCAGCCGATTGTCTGTTTGCAAGTATCCTACAAACGCAAACTCTCCAGGTATAAAGTGCAATACTTCCAACAAAATCCGCCGAACTTCTATTAACCAACAAACACACAAGATACACAAAGATTCTGGATTATGACATGTTATCTTTTCCCATTACAGCAATTGAAACTAAAAATTCAATGAAGACCCGTAAATCGTTTGTGACGATTCTTGAATAAGAAAGATGCATCTTGAACCGAGTCGATAGATTTTCAGACGAAGCTACCACATGAACCTGCAAATGTGTTACATATAAACACTTCTTCTACTAATTTACTTCCTGTGCCTACCTTTCTGCTGTAGTTCAATTGCAAGATCCAACAATTACAGTGAAAACAGAATAAATCACATACTGCAAGCTCAAAACATATGTTCATCAAAACCCACAAAAGTAATTCTATAAGCACAATAGGAATTCTTAGGACTCAGAACCCATTTCAACTACAATCAATTAACTAATCCCTGAAAAAAACAAGTAAAACTATAGAAAAAAAGAACAAAAAAAATCAAAGCACTGAAAAAAGGTCAAACCTTTTTGCTCTCTTGGGGTCAATCAGAGCAAGCTCCGCAAGTCTATCGGCCGCCATAGCCTTCTTCGCACCAGACTCCGCCTCGTACGAAGTACCGCTGGAGTTCTCATCCATCGAGCTGCTACGCTTGTGCCTCTGCCCGGAAGAAGCTGCCGCCGCCGGCGGGCCGCCGTCCAATCCAAGCCCATCGAAGAAGTCCGCATCCACCGAAAGGCTCCTCAAATGGGCCATGGGCTTGACCTCGCCGTTATTTCTGGGCTGGGCAACCGGTGGCGGCGGCGGCAGCGGTCCGCCGGGGAGGAGGGAAGGGTTGTTTTCGGTGAAGTCGATGCTCAAGTCAGCTAGAACTCCGTCGAGGAGCATGTCGTCGAAGTCATCGAAGCGGAAGAAGGTCTCGGACTGGGCCCGCCGGTGGTGGGCTCGGCGGGTAGGCGTGTCGGGCATCTGGTCCAAATCCGCTCGGCCCGGTACGTACGGGCTCGTCGGCGGGGGTTTTCCGGAGAAATTAGGGTCCATTTGTTTCCTCGAAGTAGAAAATTTGATGAGATTGGTGATGGGTTCAATGGGTTTTTGGGTGGGGAGTACAGATAGCTGTGTTGATGATTATGATCGACTAGAAATGGAAATTGGAAAGGGGGAGTTGAAAAAGATATTTGGGGGCAGAAATAGGAATTCGACAAAGTTGGAGGACTTCTAGAAAAATTCAGACCAGGTTAACAGTTACATGTGGCAGTTGGCGACTTGATATGAACATTGATAAAATTACCTAGTGCACCCTAACATATGTTTTAGCTAATAAGCTAGCTGATAGCTTATCAGTAATTTTTGAGTTTATAACTTATAGTTTATGATTATAGCTAAAAGTTAGTTTATATAATAAAATTGTTTAGTAGAATTAGCTGATAAGTTGTTAGGAATAAAAAAAATCAACCAGTTTATTTGAAAAGCTACCTAATAAAGCTTATTAAGAGCATCTCCAATAGACTTCTTATTTTAGACTTCTTATTTGGAAAAATAAGGAGTCATCCTATATCCATTTGCTTCCTATTTTCTGTTGTTCTCCAAGAGTCTCCCTATTTTATAATTTGAATATGAACCAGACCCACAAATCTATCTAAAAGCCCACTTGAAGCCCACTTGATATTGTAATTGTTAACGATTATAATAGTAATTAACTAATTTTATAATATTCACTAATTTTTTTAATTATTATAATTAGTAATTTATTATTAATTATTTTTTATATTTTTTCCTTTATTAATATAATATTATTTCTTTTTAGATTATTATTATTATTATACTAATTGTTATTATAATTTATTAATTTTTAATCAAATAAATTATTTTTTTGAACAATTTTTATTTTTTTAATTCTTTTATTTTAATTATTATTATTAGTAATTTATTATTAATTATTTGTTATATTTTTT